GAGAGAGAGAGAGAGAGAGAGAGAGAGAGAGAGATTAATTCAAAAATTTGTGTAATTGGAAAAATGCGGTCATTTAGACAAAATTATGCAATTGTAAAATAGTTATACGTATTAAAAAGTGTTTTCAGTATTATTTTGTTGTTTTATTGATAAAGAGCAAGGTGAACATAACGGTCGTATTGTCACTGTATTAAATGAAGCTTTTACTTTTAAAAATAACCATGCTCAATAGTATTAGTTTAATAAATTATCTCAAAATACTCTTAATTATATTAATACTAAAATACAGCTGTATATAAAGTCTTTACATAAATTAAATTTTATTAAATAAACTATATTGGTTTCACCCTTAGAGCTTAAACTATAATTATAGACGTTGTAAATAAACTGGGATTGTAATCTCCCAGCAGTTAGTGCATAAACTGGGAGAGTAATCTCCCACGCTTTAGTGCTGTTTATGCTGGGAGAATAGTCTCCCAGTTTATGCAGTTTACTGCTGGGAGAGTAGTCTCCCAGTTTATGCAATACGTGCAGAAAAAGATTAGCACTATTTATACTGTAGGAAAAAAGTCACATTGCGTATAAACTGGGAGAATGATATCCCAAACGTTAATTTAACCATAATTTAACCATGATCATTTAATTTAAAAATAATATAACTTTACAAATTTATAAATCTAACTATTTATGAGGCATTACTGAATTTTATTCTTGCTAACACTCTTGGTTGATTTTTAATTTAAATTCAAAGTGCAAATGGGAGACTAATCTCCCAGTTTAAGCTTCTAGGGTTAAAAATGACGGCAAATTATTAAAACTAACCATACATTACATGCTACTAATATACAGTCTAATCACAGTATAGCTCCGTAAGTGTTTTTTCATAAAATAATCAACATATTTGTATGTGTTTTTGTGTGTTTTATCAATATGTAGACAAAAATATCAAAAGTTGCTATGTCATTTAAAGTTTTGAAATAAGATTTCGCTTATATTGAGTTCGAAAAATGCCCTTTGTAATAATAATACATTGCTTATTGCACATATAACGCATAGATTAATCGTTTGCACAGCTTTTTTACACCTCTCTAATACTGTATTCACAATACATATCCCTCCGCGCTATTCAATCCCCAATGTTTACATGTAAACGAAGTTCAGTTTCGTAATAATCATTACATAAATAAACATTTATATATACAAACACACAACTATATATTGTACAGTATATAACAGAAACATTTTTAATAAAAAGCATCAATATCAATTGAATATTACGATGAACAGTACACCCGAACAATACGATGCGTTCGATTCGTATCCCAAGAAATGCGGCCACAATTTGGTGCAACAAATTGTTAAAGAAAAAAAGTAATAAAAAATTTATAACTTTTAAATTTAATTTTAAAATAACATTTAAATATAGTCCTACTTCTCTGTCTCACACTTAAACTCGGGTTGACTCATTTTACATATTGCGTGTATAGTAGGGGTTGGACTCAAGCGCTTTGTAATCATTTTCTAATTAAAAACAGGGAATACGACATAATCGTAGACCTCGGGTGTGGGACCGGGTATTTGGCGGACCAGTTGTCACAATCGGTGAAACACAAGCGCATCGTTGGGGTCGACGTCTCGCCACATATGATAGCATTTGCCGAACAAAACCACAAACCCATGGATTCCGTCCAGTATTTGGT